TGTACATAATTGCTATTAAAATTGTAGATCAAAAAGGTAAAAACACAAAAACATCCATGTGCCTATCGTTGCTAGTTGCAGGCTTGCAGCGTGATGCTCGTGCTCTCCTGCTTCCCGTCACCGACTCACTACTCTCATTTTCTTTTGAATCTAGAGCTGTCCCAATCTAGCCACCGGCTTCCGCCGATCTCAGGCCCACCTGCCAGCGACTCTTGTACGCTCTTTGGCTCCATGCCTCCAAGGCTCCAACCCCGCGCCCATCCAATTGTGAAATTGCGAACTCAATCCGATCCCATCCGTGCCGGCACCTTCTTGCGCCCTTTATTAAAGAGGACTGTAGGATTGTCTCAACTCTCTCGAACACTCTTGTCCTATTATAGTCCAAAGAGGCGAAAGTGAGCGCTCCAGTCTCCGCTGGGGGAGCCGGCGGTCTTCCTCGCCTCCGATGGCCTTCGGGCTTTTGCGAGGTGGTAGAAAACGCTGGCCTCCTGTCGATCGGAGGTGTAGGTCCTAGTAGACCTAGGTTTAGGTTTTTAGCGGTGGCGTTGAGACAGTGTTGGCAACGGCGTCAATGAATAAGGTCCTCTCGCTCTCTTCCCCATCTTGGTGGTGCTCTGCTCCGGTGCCGTCAACGAGGGCGTGGAGGAGAGATTCCCTTTGCGGATCCCCTGTACAGGAGTCCGGTGTTGGCGGCTCATCGGGAGGTGAGTTCGCTAGCTGTGGGGGGTATAATCCCAGGTACCCACGGCAAGGGACATGGGCCGCACCACTAGGGGAGGTCTAGCCCATAAGATCATGGACTATGGTGCTCAGCTCTAGTCGGCGTGCACCACAAGGCAATTAGAATAATCTAGAAGATAGAAAAGGATCTATTCGGATATGATAGATATCGTATTCCTTGTAAATACTTACCATATAGCCGAATAGATCTAGCTCTAACTGATTTGTAACCCTGTCCCCTAGACTATATAAAGCGGGCAGGGACCCCCCTCGAAATCATCTCATATTCAATATAATCAACCAAAGACATAGGACGTAGGGTATTATGTCGATCAGACGGCCTGAACCTGTCTAAATCTTGTGTCTTGTCACCATCTCGCTCACCTCTACGACAAATCTACCATCGTGGGATACCACTCGGTGGACTGCCGAGCATCTTTTATCGACAGTTGACATGCCAGATAGGGGTATGCGTCTGATCCCTTGGTGAGCTTGATGGACCTCAAAATCAGCGCCATCCATGGCAATCTGGCTTCTGGTGGTGGCGGCGTTCATCTAGGATGGAGTCATCTTCGGCCTTGTTTAGTTTGCTTCAAAATTCCAAGTTTTTTCACTCTCTCTCCATCACATCAATTTTTAGCTGCTTGCATGGAGTATTAAATGTAGGTAAAAAAAATAACTAATTACACAGTTTAGTTGGAAATCACGAGATGAATCTTTTGAGCCTAGTTGGTCCATGATTGGACAATATTTGCCAAATAAGACGAAAGTGGTACTATTCATCCGGTTGCAAAAAGTTGCAAACTAAACAAGGCCTTCATGAGGCTATTTGCGACGGGTTGACATCGTTACGCAACTTGTCATGATACTTCGGCGTACGGCTGCACAATTGTGTGCTCCGTAGTCGGTGCCCACCTTGAGCTACTCGGCTTTAGGTACCATATTCTGGATGACAGCATCGAACACAGCAGCTTTGTTCAGGTCCGATCTAATCAGATCTACAACTCCTTGTCCACCAACTCCGCCTCCACCGTCTCTGACTGTTCGACACTGGCATCAACACAGGGATTTCCAAATCGAGGTCTCCGCATTCGAGGCACTGCTCCCTTATGAGCAAACAAGAAGCGTGTGCAGGCCATGCAAGTTATCTAATGATCAATGCGTAACTTGCATGTACGTGTGCATGTGTACACGACCATGCTATATGCCCAAATCTGGCCTAATGCGCACACCAGGATGACAAGCATGCAAGTACACGAAGGCCACCAATTAAACCGCCATGCAAGCTAGCTTTCACGTACGTCAAACAAAGGAGATTTCGGACTACATTTCGCCTCGGTTGGACACGTCCGAGGGCTTCGCCTCTCCACGCGGATTGACTCCATCAGTCTTCGACGACACCCATTCGACTACAACTCCATGCACTTGTTCGCATCAAGCCGACTGAGCTGCTAAGCGAGCCAAGTCGAGCCGTAAGCGAGCCATTCGCGCAGCATCTGTCTACGTAGACATCGTTACATGCCGACTGCTCCGCTCGACCATCTATCAAAGCGCCATGCAGTATCGCTTCTCCGATCCAGATAACGCCATACGCCATCGACCAGATATTCTGTCTAAAGCTAAGTCATGCTTTAACATTTTTCTAAATATTCCCCAACATTCATATATCTCCATGATGTTTTTCCGAGCTATTTTCTCCATGTTTGCTCTCCAAACAATTTTCGTCCATGTATACCATCTTAAAGATGGCATACAGCTAAGCATAAGGCAAATTCCCGAACAATCATGTTGACGCTCGGATGTTCCTAGAGACGGCCCTGTCTCTGGCTTCTCTCTACACGTGCACGAGCGTCTGCCCTCTACGTTATGGATGGTCAGCAGCGGCTCTTTAGCAACGCTTTGTTTTTCCTACAAGCACACGGGCTCCGTGTTCTGCGTTATGGTTAACAGGCTAGCTAGGGCTAGAGACTCAGCTACACACTAATTGATCGGACGGTTTATATTAAATATAAACACATCTTCAGAATAACACTAAGTGTTCGTACCAATTGATCTCCTAGCTGCATACGCTATTTTATCACCGTTGCTGGTTCTTCTCCGGAGTTCATTTTTACATCATATACTACCTGTTCTACACATTTGTTTCGCAGGAGCATGGCTCAATCAACGAGCTTACGCTCAGGAATTGGACAATATGATCATCGTCCAGGTGGTCGAACCACCTATCTGACACACTCCTCGGCGTTCAGATTGTTCGTCACTTCGCCGCCGACCAGTTGGTTGGGCTGCTCAACGCTCGATTATTTGCCAACCAACTGGTCAGATTGTTCGTCGCTTCATCGCCAGCTACGCTGGAAACTCCTCGGTGTTCGGTCACTTCTACTCAACACTCACTTCGCCGCCGACCAGTTGGTTGGGCTTCTCGGCGCTCGTTTCTTCGCCAACCAACTGGTCGGATTGTTCGTCGCTTCATCGTCAGCTATGCTTGGGGACGCGTCCTTGGTCGATGGATCCTCAACGTTTGCTTCATCTCATCCAAGATGGCCGGTGTCTACTGTGGCTCTTCTCAAAGCTTCGCTGGCGATGGAGCTCTGGTCGACCTGTGGTTGGCGGCGTTTGGCTTCCAACGATGGCCGGCGGCGATGGAATATTGAGGATTTGGGCTGCAGGGGTTTCAACGAATGGCTTGTAATTTCTTTGTTTTTTAGGGACCTTTGTGCTTTTAACTCGGAACAGCTGTCTGTATCCTTTGTCAACGTATCTGTATTTGTACGGGTCTCTATACGGTATCCTTAGCTATCAATACAGGTATGTTGGATAAAAAAAATATTAAAGAGGACTGTAGCAGTTAAGCCGGCCTCATCGTTTGAACTTATCAGTCGGCTTATCAGCTAGAATCTACAATATTTTTCTCTCACAACAAAAGCATTAAACGGTCAAAAAAGCTGTTTTTGTTGCTTGATTCTAGCGAGGAAGTTAGTGATAAGCACAAAGGTCATTTTATCAAAAACAAAGAAATTACAAGCCATTCCTTGAAACCCCTGCAGCCCAAATCCTCAATATTCCATCGCCGCCGGCCATCGTCGGAAGCCAAACGCCGCCAACCACAGGTCGACTAGAGCTCCATCGCCAGCAAGCTTTGAGAAGAGCCATAGTAGACACCGGCCATCTTGGATGAGATGAAGCAAACGTTGAGGATCAATCGACCGAGGACGTGCCCTAAGCCCCGGTGACCCTGGATGTAGACTCGCCATTGCTGACTGACGCCGCCATGGAACAACCGAGCCTGCAGCTCCACTCTCCCGCCTTTCGCACAAACCGAATCTACCTCTCCATCCTCAGAACACATGGCCAGTGTCGACAAAAGATGCTCGGCAGTCCACCGAGAGGTATCCCGTGATGGTAGATTTATCGTAGAGGTGAGCGAGATGGTGACAAGACACAAGATTTAGACAGGTTCAGGCCGTCTGATCGACGTAATACCTTACGTCATGTATCTTTGGTTGATTATATTGAATATGAGATAATTTTGAGGGGGGCCTACCCGTCTTATATAGTCTGGGGGACAGGGTTACAAGTCGGTTAGATCTAGATCTATTCGGATATATGGTAAGTATTTACAAGGAATACGATAGCTATCATATCCGAACAGATCATTTTTATCTTCTAGATCCTTCTGATTGCCTTGTGGTGCACGTCGACCAAAGCCGAGCACCGTAGGCCATGATCTTATGGGTTGGACCTTCCCTGGTGGTGTGGCCCATGTCCCTTACCGTGGGTACCTGGGGTTATACCCCCACAGCTAGTCCCCGAGCGTTTTGTATCCTTCAAGCAACGCTGTCTTGAACAAGTCCGAGCAGTTTGACGTAAAGCCGATCAATTTAACTGATGATCCGAGCAGTGAAAGTCAAAGCCGACCAGTTTAACTGGTGACCTGGACAGTGAAAATCAAAGCCGACCAGTACAAATCAAAGTCCTCTTTAATATTTTTTTTATCCAACATACATATATTGATAGCTAAGGATACCGTACAGAGACCCGTACAAATACAGATACGTTGACAAAGGATACAGAAGACAGCTGTTCCGAGTTAAAAGCACAAAGGTCCCCCAAAAACAAAGAAATTACAAGCCATTCCTTGAAACCCCTGCAGCCCAAATCCTCGATATTCCATCGCCGCCGGCCATCGCCGGAAGCAGGCGACGACTCTCCCTCCTTCCCTCCCGTGCCATCACCGGACCACCTACTCGCCGTCTCGAGGAGCAGCAGGCGTCGCGGCGATGGGGGGAGACGGGCACCCGTACGCGCCGGCGGACCTGCACCTGCCGGGCTTCGTGCCGCTGCAGCTGTCGCAGGGCCAGATCCTCGCCCCCTACCTGGGCACCTCCGTCTTCGTCGTCCTCGCCGTCTGGCTCGTCTCCGGTAACGCTACGACCGCCACTTCTTGTACGCTTCTAGCGCCAACTAGTGCTGCCCTGCCCAAAACCCACCAATCCAACCATCCCGCTTTCTCTTGCTCCTTCGTTCCGTCGCATTCAGTGTCACTGCAACTGCAAGCCGGCCCATCCAATCCCCTCGCTCGCTAACGCAATTCCGCTGCACAAGGTTGCCTAGATCCTCGTTGTGCTTCCTGATCGGTTTTTGAAATTGGATACGGAGTCAAACTTTCTCGATTCATAATCACCTCATTTTTCACCCTTTTTTTGTTTTGTTTTGCTCTGCGTGATCCTCAGCTCATGCCGCTGGTTGGTGACTGCTGATTTGCAGGAAGGTGCCGCGGGTTATCCAAGACCGACCGTCTGCTCATGTGCTGGTGGGCGTTCACCGGCCTCACCCACATCGTCATCGAGGGGACTTTCGTCTTCAACCCCGGATTCTTCAGGAAGGACAACCCCAACTACTTCGATGAAGTCTGTAAGTTCTTCCACCGGAACTTACCATCGCTGTATCATCATGTTGTGTGTCGAAACGGTGCTTGACAGACCAAATACTCGCACGTTGTTCAGGGAAGGAGTACAGCAAAGGCGATTCCAGATACGTCGCTAGGGACCCCGCGACCGTCACGGTTGAAGGGATTACAGCTGTGCTAGAAGGCCCTGCGTCGCTGCTTGCAGTGTATGACTTGCTTCTCATCTCTTGACACACGCACAAAATGCATTCTACAGTACCTTTTTGTTGAATCATTTCCCTGTCATTATCCTTTCTTTGCCAAGTTAGTGCAAACATGGTGCTGCAGTGGATGGGATCTTTGTTGTTGTCAGTTGTCACCCCATGCTGCTACACAGTTCTACAATTGATGCAGCAACAGTCAGAGCATCACCCTCTGAATTAGTAACATCCATCTAGTTCATAGATTTCTGCAGCAAGCTAATCCCACATGTACTAATAATAAAGCATTTAAGCGGTGAGAAATGTGGTCCAACAAAAATTGCAAGGGACAAATATCAATGAAATGATGAAAACATAGAGCGTGGTGTAGCATTCTTGGTCTTCATTGTAGTTCTTAATAGACTGAGTAAACAATCATGGTGACGATGCGGTAAATTCAGAGAGAATCATTATGGTTACTATTCTTGTCAATTTTTACCTAACATAAGCATCTGTTGGTTTAACAAGATTGATTTCCAGAGTGTTCTTAACAGATAGTATGTAAAATGATTGAATAATTTAGCCAACATCTTTATGTGCTTGGCAATTGAATGCGTCCACAAAGTTTGAGCTTTTGGTACAGTGTAGTGATATTTGAAGGCGAAAGGTCTGAATCTGATGAAGTGTGGGACTGTGGGTTCCCTCATTTTTTGTGTTCTGTTGATGTTCATATGGCAGTATCATTTGCCTTCTATCTGGCAAATACTGTATCCAAATCCAAGATACAGTCAGCCGCGGATGTGTGATTTAGAATCATAATGCTGCGTTTATTCTATCTGACGACAAATTTGCTGGTTGCAGCTATGCCATTGCATCCCACAAGTCCTATAGCCATATTCTCCAGTTCACCGTCTGTCTGGGTCAACTCTACGGGTGCCTGGTTTACTTCATCACCGCATACTTGGATGGCTTCAACTTCTGGGTCAGTCCATTCTACTTCTGGGCATATTTCATTGGCGCAAACAGTTTCTGGGTTTGGATACCAACGCTCATCGCCATGAGGAGCTGGAAGATGATTTGCGCAGCATTTCGAGCTGAAAAGGCGAAGAAGACAAAATAAGACTGCGTTGGCCAAAGTTTGGTGCTAGTTTGGTTTTATAACAAATTAAATACTCATTGTACCATGGGCAAATGAATTCCCGATACTGAAGTGTGTTTTGTTGACAACACCCATTGTGGTAACCTCTTTGGAAAACATCTTTCTTTGTGATCACTTTGTGTAAACGCGATGCGATGTGAAAGTGAAACACTTTATGCTTCTTTCTTTTTCCCTTTTTCTTCTTTTTTCCCCTTTTCCTCAGTTATTAGAAGTAGGGTTGCTGCTCATTTCTCAGTTACGCCTGGGCCCATGTCGATTGTCATTGACTTTGACTCATACACATGGATCGATTACCAGTTGCCTCCTGATCTGCATATTTAATTGCCGCAAACAGTTTAGTGATTTCAATATCATCGCTCATCACCGTGAGGAGTTAGAAGATTTTGCACAGCGTTTCAAGCTAAAAAAGATGGGGGAAAAAACTTCTATGACCACAGTTTGGCAGTGTTCGTGTTGAAAACGCCCTTGTAAACATCGTTGTTAATCACCTCACCCAGTCAACAATCAGTTTCTCGACAAAGCAGTATTCTTATCTGTTCCAGAATGAAACGAAGATGGCTATTGAAGCTGAATATTTGCCCGTATGGTTTGGCTATAACATAAATATTTTTCAGAACAACTGATGTTCCAGCTTGCACGCTAGGAAACTGACAGGCAGCTGGCAACAAATAAGCATGTGTAAGACCAAAACAAACTGTAAGGAAAATTGGTAATTCATCGGTCAAAAAGCTCCCCACAAGTGACACAAAACAAAGATGCATTCATTATAACTGAAAACTCCATGTTGCACCTTACTTCCGAATGCAAAAAAAACCGCTCTATTCACAGGCTCATTATCCATGAAACACCGGAACTCCAGCTACATTTACTAGACACATACATCATATGGTTACATATGCGGGACCTCACTTATATACATCTTACTGCTAACTGCAATTGTGCAGTTTCAAATGCCACAGTCAGAAGGGCAAAAGGCGACTCTAATCATGCTAGCTTAAAGGTACTACTTATATCCTGCACGCCACCACGGTGATTCGCAAGGAGCGGTCGGTCCGAGGGCAAAATCAGGAACATAACAACGAAATGCTCAGACAAAGGTAACTGCATAGTGGGTCTCGGAGTTGCCACAGGTGAAACCTTCGATTCTTACTTTTGGGCTGCTGCTAACACCGCAAGATGGCGAGGCTACTTCAACTCTTACTGTTGGCGCTTTGCCATAGGAGCTCCCTAAAGGAGAAAAGGATGGCACTCTTATACCAAACTGTGGATCATGGATAACAGGGTTGTTAGTGCGTATTGGAGGCGAGCCACATAAAAAGCCCACCTGGCTGCTCGAATCTCCATCTGAGTCATTCTGAAAAACAGAAAGTCGGTTATCAAAATTTAATCATGCATGGGAGTTTACGTTACTTCATTCAATCAATGAGCGAACTTTCCAATAATTACCTTACTGAGGATAAGATCAAGTATATCAGAAGTGGAGTCTGATCTGTACAGCGGAAATGCACTGCAGTTGTGGAGAGTAAAGGTTAAGCAAAGAAAGTCATGATTAGTACCAGACTAATCATTATCATTGAACACATCCATCAGGATAAATAGATACAATTAGACATGCAGTTATGCTTGTAACGTATTTTGTTTCAAAGTCATGGTTAGTACCAGACTAATCATTATCATTGAAATACATCCATCAGGATAAATAGATACAGTTAGGCATGCAGTTACGCTTATAACGTATTTTGTAACGTATAGCGTATTTTGTTTCAATAAATTAGGCAAAGGAAACCAGACATAGTGTGGTAGTCCTACCAGTGACCCTAATTTGTGCGACATGGTATGTGCATTGTAGTGAATCATTTTCTATTTGTATCTTATTACATTGAGCTTTCTATCATGCCTCAAATAAAGAAAAAGACTCTCTCTGTATGTTAATTCTCTAATTCAATAAACACTACACATTTACTAGCACATATGTCAAGAATTGCACAATAAACCCAATAACCTGTACAAAATTCAAATCCATATACTTCTGTCATGGTGATGGTGCCACCGAAAATTGCTGGTACTGCCCACATGAAAACTAATCAGATCCACATACACCAGGATATTTGCAGCAAATTTGCACTTTAGCCACCATCAGACTAGCCACTGGACAGCTAATCAAACCTCTTGCATGCAGTGAACAAAGGAAAAAAGTAATAATATAATCAAAGAACTAACCCGTTCGTCTTGGGGCTGGCTTTGTTCACGGTTTCCACAGCGAAGGGAATCCGGGTGGCGCGGCGAGGCTGGGGGCAGATGACCTCCGCCCGGGGCGGCGGCGGCGCATCCATCTGCCAGAACCTGGACCTCCTCTCGGGCATTGCCTCGGCCCTCGAGATCGGCTGCCTCAAATAGCAGTGCTCCATGCCTGACGCTCACAGACTCCTGAAACCCAGATCAGGAGAAATTGAGTCCGCTAGATTGGAAGGAAGCGATTGCAATGGAGCGAGCCAGCGATGAGAAACCAATGCGCGTCCATACAGAAATAAAACCGCGGAGGAAATCCAAACAGGACTGGTACAAGGAGTCAGGGAGCTATCGCCTTTTCTTATCAACACCGCAATGGCCCCCCAAAAAAGGGATGCAAAAGAGCCTTCCTTCTTTCGTTACGGCATTGTGTTCCTCCAATTGGAAAACAAGGAAAGGAAATGCTGGGTACCAAAAAGGTGTCGCCTTTCTACACGGAAACGGAACGCATTCTCGTGTTTCTTTCTATTTCCGCCCTTTTTTCGTTAGGGTTGTAGTTCTTAAGCTGTACACGATAACCTAATCCAAACAGATCTTGAAGCAGTAGCGTGAGAGGTGGTGAAAATTTTTAGCGACGAGAAAGAATGGAGTTTTAGGGCTGAAACGTATAAAACTAACACGAATTCGCAAAATCTCGACATCGAAGAAAGTGTTTCTCTGAGAAATCTGGCATAGGATCTCTGGATGGAAGAACGGAATCAATCAAAGAGACAAGTAGGTCTCTGATGCCCTTCAAATCGAATCAAAATTAGCAGAGCATCTTTATTAGAGAAGATAGAAGAGAATAACAAGAACAGAGCTACCTGCGGTCTAGATTTCCCAAGAAATGGCCCAAATGCAAGCGAATCGCAGATCAATAAATCCCAAGAAGAAGAAGAAGAAACCG